TTTGACTTGCACCTATTATGATAAAGCCCAACATGAGATTTTGGTAGAACCCATACCCCAATAAAATCCAAATGCATGAAAGTTTCTCTAAGTTATATTCAAAACAATCCTTTATTTGGCGAAAAGCAACGCAATTTTGACCAAGTGTGGGATTTGGCCCAAACCATCAAAACCGATGTTCTGGTATTGCCCGAGTTGTTTGCCACGGGTTATGCTTTTACAAGCCGAAATGAAGCCTTGGAGGCTGGTGAAACCACCGATGGTTCAACCGTTGAATTTTTAAAAACCCTATCCCATCTAACGGGCGCCATCGTGGTGGCCGGTTGGGTGGAACGCGACGGCGATGCGGTGTATAATGGGGCCATTATGGTGGATGACCATGGTGTGGTGGCCGTTTACCGAAAAATTCATTTATTCAATCGAGAAACGCTTTGGTTTGATGCTGGAAATCTGCCATTTTCGGTGCACGAAGTGCAGGGCATTAAACTGGGCATGATGGTATGTTTTGACTGGTATTTCCCCGAATCGATGAGGACTTTGGCCTTGTTGGGCGCCGATGTGGTGGCGCATCCCAGCAATTTGGTACTGCCCCATTGCCAAACGGCCATGAGAACCCGTTGTTTGGAAAATCGGGTCTATGCCATTACCGCCAATCGCATGGGCAGCGATCATAATCAAGGGGAACATTTTGCGTTTACGGGTCAGAGCCAAATCACCGATGTGTATGGAGTACCCATGGCCCAATCGCCCATGGATGAAACCGATGTTCAAACCGTTGTGGCCGATCTTGGTTTGGCCAGAAACAAAATGCTAAACCCCCATAACGATTTATTGGGCAGTCGACAAACTCAATTTTATGGTCTTTAATGCAATGGGTATGATGCGATTTTTTTTAGGATGGACGTTCACTCTTTTGACCATCCCATTATGGTCCCAAAAATTACAAATCACGGTGAACGTTTATAATTTCCCCAACAATAAAGGATGGGCACGAATGGCTTTATTCCATCCTAAGGATCAATTTTTATCCAACAGCCCT